ACTGATTAAACTTCTATGCTGCCATTTTTCAATGGTTCTGGGGTGCTCACAGCCATGAAACATTGAAATTAAATTACAATCAATAAAAAAATAAAAAGATGGCAAGCATGGCAGACCAGATGGAATGAAGCAAGGGCCTTCACTCTCCGTCACTGGATCCAGTTCTTCATGGCTCTTCCAAACAACAGCTGAATAGGTTCCATCCAGATCTTGGGATAACCTTTTTTTACATGGTGTATTTCTGAGGACCTGATAGATGATATTGTTTAATCAAGGTAATCTAGCAGATGTTTTGGGAGACAAGCAATCCCTTAAATAATCAGACCATATGCCAGGTAAGGTTATAGAGACAGAGATATGTGCTTCCATCATAGAGATGGAGTACAATGAGGAAACAACTTTTCTGCATTGAATGCTATTTGTAAGCATATAGAAGCATGTGATACCCTTCAGAAAATCATTCCAAAATCGACACAGAGATAATTTCATAGTTTGAACTAAATTATGTAAGTAACAGTGTAAATCATTAACTGCAAATTAGCAGTGCACCTACCACTACTGTGAAATACAATATTTCATGGACAAAGTACCAGTATTAGAAGAAAATGTTAATTTAAGAGTTTAGATGGAAACATCGGTCAGTTTCTCTGTCTTCTTTTTAAGTAGCTGAAATGAATTTAAAAGAGAAATAAGCTAAATAGACAAAATGACCTAGGGTTGCAATAGCTACATTTACTGAATTTAAAACCCAGAAATAATATTGCAGTTAGATAAGGAATAATGGCATTATCCAAAACAAATTCCTTTAAAAGAATTTACTGAAAGTAATAGATAGGATGCAGTAGAAAAACATCTGTATTCATATGAGGGAGAAAAATACAGAAAGGCATTAGAATATATTGGAAGGAAATATCGTCAAGAGTAGAAGGAAGCAAACCTATTCCATAATAATAGATAGCATTCAACACTTTAGAGCAGTGGTTACCATCTGGGTTCTCATAATGACTGATGGTCTATAAAGATATCATTGGTAGTTCCTGATTTAGGTTTATTGCATACAGTGTCCACAAGGATTGATTGATTGATTGATTGATTCATTCATTCATTTAAAACATTTATATTGCTGCTTATCTCACATACTTGACTCTAACAATTGGTGCTTTACAATTAAAAACACAATGAAAATAGGACAAAACAACCAAAATTAAAAACATCAATAGCATAAAATAGGTGCTAAGAAAATTAATAATGTCCCTCATTTCAATTAACCATGTAACAGATCATCCATGGTGGCCCCAGGCTGGATGAAAAAGACAAGATCTTAATACATTGTGAAAGACCAAAAGGATTGAGCAAGTTTAATCTCAGGAGGGATAGGTCAGATGCAGACAATCAGAACCACTCCAGAGCCAGAATCAATAAGCCCAAATAGATACTTTATTGCTGACCACCTATATCGTAAGAATCTCACCAAACTATCTACCTTCCCTATAACCTAAGGGTTACAGATAAAAACTTCAGACTTTTCTTCCCCCAAATTGACTCCAACAGGAATGTCTCTTTACTCCTTGTGGATGGACCCTCTCTCCTTCAACCAGTAATTCTATCCAAAGGATGGGCAACATGGCTGAAAAGCCTCTTTTTCTAAGTCCCACCAGATGATACTCTTTAATGTACAGGACCCAGAGCAAGATTTGCAAGATTTGGCAAACTACTTATAAGATTTTTGCTTTGATTTTCCATAAAACTGTGTTTTATTTTAAGGTTCAATTTCAGGGGTACCATCCATGCCATGCTGCCTAGTGCTGGAATGGAACTCAAGACAGGATTATATGCTGGTCCCCTAATCTTTGGTTGATAAGGTCATGATCTGCAGAAATGAATAAGGTGGGATCTTCTGAATCATCTATAGAAACTGAAAGGCTATATATGTAAGGATGGACCAAGGACTAAATAATATTTTTTTATTTACATAGTGCAAGCCAAGTTGCTCAGATATTGTTGGGAATTATCCCATTTTCTCCTCACATGAATCTTGAACAAGTTAGCTTTGGAGATAACTTTACCTGCAGTCTGAAGCTAATCAGGAATTTAAATTTTATCAGTTGTGTATTACATTGATGCTTATCTTATTGCCTATGGGGATGAATGTTATCGAAGATACCTGATTTGGCATCCTTCCTTATTTCTTTTCAACCTGGTTCTTTTAATTTCAAAGTGTTCCTGTATGAGGGGGAAAATTAGAAGTGTTATGTGTTTCAAACAAAATTTGGCAAGCATTGAGGTCCATAGCATGATTGGAAAATTAAAGCTGCAGGTGGCTTTGGAAAAGAGAAAGGAAGGTAACTTTGAAAGAATAGACCACTACCCAAAGCAGAAAGTGAGGGAAAAGACTTGCAAGTTTCTTTTACCTCAGCCAATGTTAACAAAAGTAGCTTTAGCTTTTCTGTGGAATTGATTTCTTGATCTGGTCTACTAGTAGAGCTGACACTATAGCTCAGCATGCTGACTGGGGAATTCTGGGAGTTGAGGTCCACATATCTTCAAAGCCACCAGAGTTGAGAAATGCTGCTATAGCTACATACTTTGAAAATGGAGCTACTTGAACCTCAAAAGAAGACAGAAGGCAGCTAAGGAATGGTAGAGGTTCAGGAAGAGTAGTGGGGAACATTTCCATCCATTTACCTATTAGTTAATTGATCTAGCTGCTCTAGTTGCCTCTTTGTGACAGACCCACAACATGCTCTCAAAATTGACTTTAGACACCTTTAGGAATTTCACCTCAGTTGACACTGAAATGGGAGAACCACAAATCATTGAATCAATATTTATGCTTTTCTTTTTAACAAGGGATCCTTAAAAGGCCAGGCTTTCTTGCTTTTTACAGCTACCCAGAGTTTTTAGTTCAGTTTGTACTATTATAAATATAAAAAAAAAGCTTTTTTGAGGGGGGGGGGAGTTGGGTGGTTAATAGAAAATGAAGATGAGCAGACAATCTACAAAAATAACAACATCTTCTAATCTAATCATTTCCTAGCCCCAAATATGAGGATATACAATTTTCTTTCAATGGCACTTCCTCTTACATTCTTACTTCAGAAAAAATAATACGTAAAATTTGTCTGAATCAGACCTAATCCCCCTCCTTTTTTAAAACTGACTATTTAGAATCATCCCTAATAGTCATTGGTTGGTGTTCTGAGATTTTTGCTTCTCAAAACTGTGGTAACATTACTGAGTTAAAGACATGGTTTTCTTTTTAAAATCTTCCAATCCCTTAGCACCAACAGGATCTTCTCTTGGAATTTAAATAACACATTTGAAAAAGGAATTTTTGGTGAGACTGAGGGGGAGAGAGGAAAATACCCACTATAGACCATAGCCTATAATCTTTAGATTAGTCAGGCATTTCTTTGTTTTTGCTTTGATGACTCAAACAGAGGATTAAATGAACTGATGCAATTACTCTCCGGTCTCATTTGTTTTTCATCTCTTCTTGAGTATATTTGCAATTTATTTTTAGCATCATTTCTGGTAAAATGAAGTTGGCTTCATTTCTCTGGTCGTTGCCCAGGGAGAGTTTATGCTTCTGAATTTCATATCCTCAGAAAAGTTTAATGTCTTTGTCCATTAATGAGACTTATACCTCCATTGATTTACTAAAAAAGATTTACTAAAGGATGTTATATGCCTACAGATGCATTTGCTTTAGATTCATAGCCAACCCTTTTTACATGACTATAAGCATATATAGGTCAATAGTAATGTACTGATATATTCTCAGTAATTTCTTCTGCAAATTAGTGGGTTTTCATGCTCTTAGCCAATGGTAAACTATTAAAGATAAAGACTTTCTATTTATTTCCTATTTTGCATTGATTACATATCTATATAGTTGATAGATATTTGCATAGTTCAGATGGCACAATTTGAAATATAATTATTTTCTCCAAATTATATGCCATCTGTTGAGAACATGGAAGAGCAGGCATGTTCATTGCTTTTAAAAATGCAATTCAATTGTTTGTAAGTGCTTACTACCTATAGTCTGTCAAAATATTAACAACTTCAGGACCTCTCAGGACCCTAGGAATGTTCCTTCACTGAAAGTTTTTAAGAAATAATTGGACAACCATTTATCTGAAATGGTATAGGGCAATGTTGGCTAACCTTTTTTGGCTCCTGTGCCAAAAATTGTGCACGTGCTTGCACACTTGTGCTCATGTGCCAGCACCCAGAAGGCAATGCGTGCCCCCCATCCCTCCTACACATGCACACGCAATCCCCACCCACTCACCCCCACTATCCCCTTACCTGCACTGTGCCTTACAGCTGATTTTCAGCCAGTTTGAGGCCTTTTTTGGCCTGCCAGAGGCTTGAGGAAGGCTTCTGCAGGCTTTGCAGGCCGAAAACTAGCCCTGTTTCATCATTTCCAGTATTTTTGGAAAAACAGGAAGTGATGAAACGGGCCTTGTTTTTTGCCTGCAGAAGCCTTCCTCAAGCCTTTGGGAGGCCGAAAAAGGCCTCAAACCAGCCGAAAATCAGCTGTGAGGCACATGTATGTGCAGTGAGGTAAATTTGCGTGCGGCTCGCTTATTGGCACAAATGGCTCTGCGTGCCACCTGTAGCACGCGTGCCATAGGTTCATCATCAGGGGTATAGGGTTTCCTGCCTGAGCAGGGGGTTGGACTAGAAGTCCTCCAAGATCCCTTCCAACTCTATTATTCTGTTTTGTTCTCTTTTTTCTTATTAATTGTATTAGAAATGATAATTATTTTTATATACTTATTTATCTGCTTCAGAGTATTATTTCATGCAGGAAAGCTTTTGTATTTCCACATTTTTCTCTTAATTTTCTCAATTTATGACACTTAAATTGTCATAAAGGATCATTGTTAAAGTTAAAGGATCATTGTTGATACATAGAAATAACATTAGAGTGTTGCTCCCGCAAGAATAATTCCATTTCAATAAATTGCTTATTCTCTACATATATATAGGCCAAGTTCTTATTCTCACTACAGAGTGGATCAAGCTTAGTTTACTTATGTGAGTCTTGCTTCTTGTTATTTTAAAATCTGCTAAAATAAAATTGTATTTTCACATTATGAAACATCTTCCAGAAGCTTTTTTTCATGAATATATGTCTCCAAGATAGTCCACTGTTGTAGTGTATTTTCTAATGATAAGCCATATTTCTTCCTCATCTTATCTCCTGCTATTATTTCCATGGACCAATTGTAATAAATGTGGCACTTGCGATGCTTTCTAAGTACTCCAACTAGCACAGGGCTGTCAAACTTCCAGCCCATGGGTTGGATGCATCACATGCTGGCCATGCCCATGCCTGGTTTAGTGAAGGGAAAAAAATCATGTGACGCAGGAGTGGGATTCATTTTTTTTAGCAACCGGTTCCGTGGGCGTGGCTTAGTTGGTGGTCATGGCTTGGTGGTCATGTGACTGGCTGGGCATGGCTTGGTGGTCTTGTGTCTGGCTGGGCATGGCCAACTTGACATCATTCACATCGAGGAGTGCTTCTCCTTGCCTTGCCTTTCATGGCTGTGGGGATGCTGCAATGGTCATAAGTGTGAAAAATGGTCATAAGTCACTTTTTTCAGTGGCATTGTAACTTTGAATGATCACTAATTGAACTGTTGAAACTTGTAAGTCAAAGATTACCTGTACAAAAATACAAAAAGCTTCTTTGCTTGCAAAAAGCTGCCCTAAATACCAATCATTAGATTAAAAATACCTGCAAGCAGAGTTACAAATCAGGCAGGGTGCCAGAGCACCTTGAGGAATTAAAATAGTTAAAATGCAATGATAACTATCAGCAGCCAACTCTTGCTCATAAAGTAAAACCCTTTAGCAGAGAGGTCATTTAAGCTCTCCAGAAAGAGCACATCCAGGAAAAGCAATCCTTAGATCCATATGCACCACTTAAAGACACCAGCTGGTCTCACTCACCTCACAAGATATCATAAGGAAATAATCCAGATTTAAGGAAAGATCACATGCCCCCAGAAAGGCAGTAAAGTATCAGTGCCAAGCTTGCATCACCTCTTGGAAGTACACCCCAAAAAGACAGTGCCAGATACCACTAAAGAATGTTACTCTTCTTGGTTCCTTATCATTTAAAGCTTCTTTCCGGCAGCTCTGCTTCGTTATTCAATTATTTCTTCAAAGTGCTAATCTCAGCTGGAAGAACTCCAACAGGGGAGTATTTTCTCCCAACAGCAGTGTAAAAAAAGCTTAAAACAACCCTTCCCCTTTAAGAATGTCAAGCAAAGTACCAGCAAAGGAGAGAAAAAAACTCCAGAGAAGCTCCGGAGACAGGAAGTCTAGGCCTACTTCCAAGAATGTAATAAGAGTTAACGGAGAGGCAGTTTCTCTGAGCACCACCAGCAGAATGTTTCCTTCCTACCTTCCTTACAAGATTAATCCTTTAAAGTGGAAAAAAACAAAAGGAGATTTCTTGCAACAACTGGTTCTTTGAACTGTTTAATAAGTTAACCACAGGTTCTAGCCTGGGTGAGAATTGATAGAATCCCACCCCTGATGTGAAGTTGCCATGATGATGTGAGTTTGACACCTCTGATCTATCAGAACCTCAAGGTTTCCGGTCATCTGTATTCAGTCAAGGAACAGCATAAAATAAAAGTGAGACAGACAAATGGAAAATACAAAGCAGCAATTCAGGTCCAAGATCCTTTCAAGGAGAAGAGAGAAATAGCATTATAGCGTAGACTACAGTAATTTTCAAAATTGTGATACTTTAACCTAAAAACTATCTTAAACCTTAAATCTATAACTTAAATCTATAACTAGAATAAAGCCTAATAAAACTACAGTCATTTCAAAATACTTCCTAAAACTAAAAAGTATTAATTATTCATCTGTAATCGATAAAACTGCAACATTGTGGAACTGAACAAAAAGGCAATAAAATCGTCCCTGTACCAACTTTTGCATTACTTCCATTGCAGTAAAATAAAACATGCTAGAGATACTAAGCAAGTGATAAGAGGCATCAAATCTTTTAAAGGGAACTACAAAGTTTTCTTTTGAAGTGCTTGACCAATCTTCTAACTTAGGGATGTGAAACTCGATTTCATTAAGGGCCAGGATTGTGGTTGACCTTGGGGGTATGGTGGCTGGGGGGGGGGGGGCTGGCCAGAGTGGGCATGGACAGTTTCCTGCCTCCCTCCTTCTCATTCCCATCTCCTTCCTCCCTCCCTCCTTCTCTCCTTCTCATTCCCATCTTCTTCCCTCCTTCCCTCTTCCCCCTCCCTTCCCTTTCCTGGGGTAGAAGATGACACACACACACACACACACACACACCCATTAAATTGTGGCCCTTACTAATGTCTGCTCAGATACCTGCTGCTTGTTTTTTTTCCCAAAAGAAAAAGTGTCAGCATTGTAACTTTTTAAGGATTTGAAAAGCCATTCTTTTAATTTTAGGTTTTCAATTTTGGGGACAACCCCATTCCTCCTCCCTGTGCCTCCTTTATTTCCAAGAAAAAAAGAAAATGAAGGAAGGGAGAAGAAGATGGGGTGAAACACACACACGCACACGTACACACACACACACATGAACGCACACACACACACACACACACACACACACACACAGAGAGAGAGAGAGAGAGAGAGAGAGAGAGAGAGAGAGAGAGAGAGAAGATGAATCCAAAGTCAGAGAAGGGATGGTTACAAGCCCCAGTCACTGCCTCCTCCACTTCCACCACCTCTGCTTCCAAAGGAAAAAGCCCCCAGTCCAGAAAGGATGTTCCATGAGCTGGAGAGCCACACTTTGAAGTGAGGAGAAAGGAATAAAAACCTCATGATTTTAAAAATTCAGGGACAATTCCCCCCTCCCCCCCCATTTATAGATTAGCGTCTGACTGGCCTGAGCCAGGGCTGAGGTGACAGGGGCTACTCCTTCTCTGTGTCAAGAGCAGCCCTGAGGTCAGATCTAGCCACATTATGGGCCAGATTTGGCCCATGGGCCTTGGGTTTGACACCCTTGTTCTAGCTACTTTGTGCAATAGAGGCACCAGGAGATTGGTCCAAATGATCCTGTAAAATTTATACTGTAATAATAGTTTCTCATTCGCATACATGGGCAGGTATGTTCAATTAATGGGATATTAGCATAGCTGTAGTACAGTAAGGTAGGAGAAATTATATTTTTTGTCATGGAATTGCATACCAGCTGTCTGGATGAAGTCGGAGACACAAACACAAACTTGTAGTCTTTATTATTACCATCCATAAAGAACACATGATAGTCAGGAATACAGTAACATCATAAGGTAAATTTAACAGTACAGTATATAGAACACAGAGAAGAAAAAGGAGGGGAAAACAGGAAACCCTTTATACTTACAACAACCAATCATAGCATAGATAGCATCATTCATGAGTCAGCACTCTCTAACTAATCAACTACAACTTTGTGTTCTGGCCTTTTGTACACTTTACTGTTCCAGCTACTATCCTAACATTTTCTCTAGCTTTAAAAAAAATACTGTTCTCAGCTTGGGGAAAGCAGTAGTATAGAAATAATTTGATGATTCTCATAGACATTATCAACCCAAAGTTTGTAATCTATTTACTTAACTTGATGCTTCATATATTTTATTCCTTGGATTAGCACTTTCTGAGCTGGAATATATTCCAATGGCATTAAAAAAAATGGTGCCCAAAACATCTTCTATGCAACTTCTGCCTTCTCACCAATTTCCTGCAACAATTGCAGGTGCCAATTCTTATGAAAGAAAATGTACTTTTGAGATTTAACCATCAAACTCCAAACTGAATTTTAGGCATTCCTATCTCCAGTCTAAGATGGGTACTGGCTGTTCCATTAGAGAAGCAAGGATGACTACCAAGAATTTCATCTGCACCAACTACAGTTTATTCGCAAATTAATTGGTGTAAATTCTCATTTCTGTGCTACATAGAATTTGCGCCCAACATTTTGCTTTAAATGGTTACCTAGCTCTTAAATAAATGTTTGAATATAAATTCTGCAGCAGAAAAAGGAGGTACCTATCAATAGATGTATCATTACATTTTCCCCCAAAGGTATGTTCTAGATATTAAATCAAGACAGCTTTAACATTTAAACAAGTAACATACTGGGAGGTTTTCATTTCTGAGTGTTGATGAAGAATTAAAATATGATCTGTTGTTGACCTCACTTTTATAAATACCACCTACATATTCCCAATTAGACTTCTGATTCTATCCAGTCTTGTAATTTGTGATGTAAACGTCTAGTATATTATTTTCTAACCATACTTAGAAATCCAATCAAACTATAATTAACCAGGTTGTTGTGGTCTTTTTTTATAAATAGATATGGCTATTCTAAGCCTCAAGTCTTTTGGAATATTACCAGTTTAACTAATAAATGTTAATAAGGATATGAGGAGAGGACCCTACCAGTTTAGCATCGTAGCCAATAAGATTTATCTAAGGTGCAATTATTGCTAATTGAAAATGACCTCAAGGCAGAAGTTAAGGGTCCCAAGAAGACACTATTTTGGGGGGAAAGTAGCTTCTCCTTGCAAAAAGCCCAACGTACTAATTTGGGCATTTCTTATCAGAGTGTGCTACTTGTATATGCTCCCCCCTCAGCCATTTCCAGCATTATACAATTCACAATCATTCATTGCCAATTCACTCTCAGCTGTGTTCTTATTTTATGTTTCCCTACCTTCAATAACTTTTTCACTAAAGTACTCAAATTATTCACTTTCTTTTTGTCATTGATGTTTAACTTGCAATCATGCATTCCATTTTCCCTGTAAAATAAAATAGCTTGCTCTTTGATACTTTAATGTTCAGATCCATATTGCTTCATACAAGCTACCTATATTATGTGAGAATCATTGCTTTCTCAATCAACAAAAATGCATCATTTATGTACAATATTCCCACCAGACATTCCCACCAGAAGCACTCGTTGAACCCTGTCTTGCATCAAAGTGGCATCTCAGATTCTTGTCTTCTTTCTCCTCAGTTGTGGGCATTCCATGTAT